TTCAAGTGCTTGTATTTCTTGTTGCATTACTGACTACCATTTGTTATCTTTTACTGCTTCTACAAATGTCATTGGCTCTTTCTCCATCGTCACGGATTCAAGAAACCTATGATGCTTCAATGAAAATTTTTCACAGTTAGCATAATGAGCGATAGGATAGAGCACCTTTGATTGTTGTTGTGGAGTGGGTGAACAATTAGATGGGCTCTTTGATGCTCTCACTGTATTGGTTACGTAATCTCGAAGCTTTACCAAGGGAACTCTAATACACATGCCTCACCCAAACTGCTCCTCATTTTCTAGTTGTTCATCAATTGCACCATCAATTACAGCATGTTGTGTATCCTCAAGACTGGTACCCCCTTATTGCAACGCGTGTTTTACTGCCTGCCACCTTAGTGGTCACAAGCTGCTCATTGTAGTCAAAATCGGCCTCTCCATTCTGCATGTCGGTTATTGGTTTACTGCTAGACCTGTCAGTGTTCTCTCCAAAAGGAAATTTTGCCTCAAAAACATCAACATCTCTTGATACAAAATAAGTGTTGGTGTCCAAGTCAAACAATTTCCATCCTTTCTTTCCATGTGGGTAGCCCACAAAAACGCACTTCTTGCTTCTAGTGCAAATTTATCTCCCTTCCTTCCTTGGTTATGAGCGTAACATAGAGACCCAAATACTCTAAGATGGTCATAGGAAGGTTGTTTCCCATTCAGCACCTCATAAGGGGTTTTTCCATTCAGCAAAGGTGTCGGTGTTCTATTTATCAAATATCTTGCAGTCAGAATACATTCACCCCAAAAAGAAATAAGAAGATTACCTTGAAACCTCAACGCTCGAGCCACATTGAGTATGTGTCTATGTTTTCTTTCAACTCGTCCATTTTGTTGAGGCGTTCCAGTGCATGATGTTTGAAACACGATTCCACGTTTAAGAAATTGTGTTCTCAAACATGTAAATTCTGTTCCATTATCGCTTCGAATCATCTTAACCTGCTTTTCATATTGTCTCTCTTAAAGTAATAAAGTTCATTAAGGCACGAGGAGCTTCCTTTTTATCTAATAACAAAAAAATTCAAATTGCTTGAGAACAATCATCCACTATAGTCCTCATAAGTCACAATGAACCAGTTCAAACACACTGGCGACTTTATGATTGCTTAAAGAAAAACTATCTCTAGTTTGCTTAGCCCTTTGGCACACATCGCATGCCTTATTTCCGTGGTTATTATTCTTGCTACTTGTATTTGAGACTAATTCAGTAATCTTCAAAGAGGGATGCCCCATTCGCCTATGCCAGAGATCAAGTGACATCACAACATCAGCTTTAAAGGCTTTCTCATGACGAATTCCTCTCAAATAGTAGAGCTCATCTATTCGTTCACCCAATCCAATTAGCATCCTCGAAGTGCGGTCCTGCATTACACACAAAGAATTAGTGAACTGCACTATACAGTTTGTGTCATCTATCAACTGGGTCACGGATATCAAGCTGCAGTTTAATATAGGCATATATAACACGTTCATTTTCAGCCCTCCTTCAAGTGTTGTTGTTCCCTTTTTAGCCGCAACAACTTTTTGTCCATCTAGAAGTCCCACGGGACATCCTTTTACATTCTTCAATTCTTGAAGTGATTTCAAATTTCCTATCATGTGGTTGAAAGCCCCTGTATCAATTATCGAAGTTTCTTTACCTATCATTCTTTCATTGGCATTTCCCTTCTGATTATTCAAGATCTCTACCAATGTTTGCCATTGTTTTGTGCTCAACCCCATCAAGCCTCCCTTGTCTACCTCTATCGCTGGCTCAGGTGCTCTTTCACCAACTACATGAGCAGCATTTGCTTGCACACCTCTGCCACGTCCAGAGTTTATACCATGTCCTTGTTGTTGCCCTTTCATGCGAGCAACTTTTTTTCCTTCATGACGTGGCCTATCACCCCACCAATCTAGATATCCAACAAGTTGGAAACAACTCATGGTGTCATGGCTCGTTCGATTGCAGTTCGAACAGACTATTCCTTTGTCTTTTGTATCTCGACGTCCTCTCATACCTCCACCGGTCTGTATAGCCAGACCAACAATCTCTTTCTTTTCTTCCTTGGTTCTAACAATGACCTTCACGCGTTCTTCTTGTATCAAGATGGAATACACTATATTCAATGTTGGTAATGGATCGGTTGCAAGAAGATTTGAGCGAACCGTTCCATACAACACGCGTCTAATCCCATCAAAAATTGATTTACCTTATCTTCTTCCCTTCGTCTCTCTAATTTTGCCTTGATGTCACATTTGCACCCTTCACATGTGCATGTTGGTATCTGCTGGTAATTTCCCAGCTCATCCCACAACGTCTTGAGCTTTCCATAGTAGTTCACGATGGTCATCCCCTGTTGTTTGCATTCAGTCAGTTCTGATTTCAGTTGTTGAATCCTTGGTCAATTCACAACTGAAAAATGTTCTTTAATGTCATCCCACAGTTCCTTTGTGTTCTCCCCATAGGAAATAGTAGAACGCAGAGAAGTTTTGATGGTGTTTAGGATCCAAGACACCACCATAGATTGCACGGTCCACCAATCCTTAATTTCTGGTGAGTCTTCATTCGGCTGTTTCACAGTGCCGTCTACAAACCCCCATTTACGTCGTGCATGTAACAAGGTTCTCACAGCTTTTGCCCATTCTTTATAATTTTCACCCGTAGTTGAACTTGGGTGATTATGCTCCCTGGATTGTAGTTTGAATTCAGGTCATATGGCGATGACTTCTTCTTCACTACTCTGGGTATTTCCACATATTTCTCTTTCTTAGAACCTAGCTCTGATACCATAATAAATTATGGAAGAATTTCTATGTGTTATTCATATACAAGGAGCATTCATATATACATGATACCCTGCTCTATTTTGGTATCAGGTTTCCTAAACATATGCCTATAAATCCCTAAGATTGTGCCTGTAATATCTCTCTAGACAACTTGATTAAAGATACAGCAAATCACCCTTAATATGGCTAATAATAATTATGCGTACAATAGATATTTTATTTCCTATTATATGCAATAGTTCAACTTTGTAGTTGGAACAAAATCTATAAACTTAAGGATAAAAGGGGTTTGGGTTTTAGGAATATTAGCCTTGTGAATCAAACCTACCTTATGAAAATATAGTGGAGACTCTTAACTTCCCCTAATGACCTGTGGGCTCAGGTCTTATGTAGAAAATATAAATTTGATCTTAGTAGAGACCTTTACACTAGGACTAATCAAACTTATTCCCATTTATGGAGAAATATATTGATTGTTTGGGGCCCTTTCTATAAAGGGTTAGGTTGGATTCTTAGGGATGAATTGACTATTAGATTTTGGAAAGATAATTGGATTCCTACCTTTCAGAATTTTTCTAGTTATGTTGTGTAATCTATCTTGATGATGTTTTAAATGCACCTATTACTATATTTTTTGCTCAGGATAGTTGGGATTGGCCTAGAATTAGGTTGATGCTTCTTGCCACTCTATATGAATCCATCTCTGATTTTTATCCTTATGTTGAGGTTAGAGGTCAAGACCTCTTTTTCTAAAATCATTCCAATAATGGAATTTTTTTCATTAAGTTTGCAAATCATATGATTGCCTCCTCTGAGAAAAGTGGGGATAATCAAAATCATAATAATATTTTTAATCTCGTGTGGAATTGAGAGGGTCCACCTAAAATTTCAATTTTCCTGTGGAAAGTTGCTCATGGCAAGTTGTTAACAAATGTAGAGAGGTGTGGGGTGGGTATGAGGTTGGAGTTGGAGTGTGAGTGGGTAATGGGAAAGGGGACAGGAGAAGAGGGGTGAAGTAATGGAAAAAAGGAAGGAGAGCTGAGGTGTGAGGTGGGCAACAAAGAAATGTGGGGGTGGACAGTAGAAAAAGGGAAAGAGAAGATGTGCCTTCCTGCAAATATATAAAATATAATCAAAGACTTATTTGTAAATATTAATTTTAAATAGTAAAATATTATTAAACTAAATAAATAGCATGTCACATGAAAGTACTAAGTTGGCTTTCACTTAGTTCAATACTTAACAGGAGGGAGTTGAAAATAGAGATTAAATCCTAATTTCTTAACTTTTCAGGAACTAAATACTAACAAAAATTTTGATAAAAATATATTACAAAATATTTAATATTTATAGAGACAAAAGATATAATTAAGTCTTTTTTTATTTTATGAGGTTCATTGACCTTTTTTCTTTCTTTCTTTTAACAACTTATTCAATAGTCAAACTAAAAAAAATGATTTTTTTAATTTACTAAATCACTTTTTTTTTATCTTTTTCTTTCTTTAAATTAATGCAACTAAATAGAGTCTAAATAATTAGACCTATACTTTAAAATTTAAATTTTGAGATGGAATTGATATTTTTTATGATTCTATTCTAAACTAATAAAAATAATCATATATACATATTAAAATTATATTATAAATGAATTATAATTAATTTTAATAGTATTATAAGTTTTATAATTACACAAATATTTTACAATATTTATTTATATCTTTGAATATACACATACCGTAGAATTGACCTTAATTAAAAGGTATTAAAAAATTAATCAATTTTTACAGATAATTTGAAAGAACAAATTATTTTTAAGATTTTTCTAGAAAAGACTTTTGAAAGTTACTTTTTTTTATCATGTTAATAATTTTTATATTTAAAAGATATTTTTAAAAATTCATTAAATTTTAAATTTTGTGTATAATATATTTGAAATTATTTAATTAAGAAATATTTTAATTTAATAATACTGTTAAAGGAAAACAATAAGTCACTTATTGTAACAAAGATGCATAATTGTGCATTACCCAACATAAGAATTTCGGCACCTCACCCACACACACCATGCATCTCAGGCTCCCTCCGTCCTATACATTACTGCCACCACTCCCTCACATTATTTTTTACTTTTCCTTTTATTATTATTTATTTCCATCTTAACCAATAACTATCGCCCAAACCAGAAAAAGCTGCTCCCCAATGACAACAATCGCGTTCTCCGATGCATCACATATCGCCGGCGATCCCTCTTATCGCCGCCGGCCATAACACCACCCCCATTCTCGCCGCCGGCGCAACCCCCTTCACTCCCCACTCACTGACCCAAACCCATCACACAAACCAGAATATGCTTCCCTTTATTCCTCTCCCCAAAAAAATAAAATAATAATTATTAATATTTTCATTTTCCTTTTTCCAAATTGATTCCCCCATTTATTCCTCACCACATTTCGCGTTTCCTTCGCTTCCAACTGGAATCCGATCCATCCCAAACTTACTAAAATTAAAATTAAAAAAAAAACCCAAAAAGAAAAAAAGCAGCGTTACCATAATGGGGGCGAACCGGAGAAGAGAGAACCGTGGGGAACCGGTGACGATGGATCACGTGTTGTTGGCGTCACAAGAGAGCAAGGAAGAGAGGGAAACGAGGATTCGTAGTCTTTTTGGTTTCTTTGATAAGGAAAGTTGCGGTTACTTGGATTACGCTTTAATTGAGGCTGGGCTTTCGGCGCTGCAAATACCCTCCGAGTATAAGTACGCCAAGGACTTGTTCAACGCTTGCGATGCGAACAAGGATGGGAAAGTTGATTATGAAGAGTTCAAGAGGTACATGGACGATAAGGAACTCGAGTTGTATCGAATTTTTCAAGCCATTGATGTTGAGCATAGTGGGAGTATTTTGCCTGAAGAGCTTTGGGAAGCGCTTGTCAGAGCAGGTAAATGCTAAACTATATCTTTTATTCTAAATAAATTTATTATAATAAGCTATTTTTAACTTATTATAATAAGCTTTTGGGTTAAGCTTAAGAAAAAGTTCTTGTACAATGTTATGTTACCAAAATTAGTTGAAAGGTTATAATTTTTAACTTATAGCTGGTAAGCTAGTTAAACGCATATAGCTTTTAACTAACTGGTTGAATTAGAATTCATTGATAAAACTAGTTGAACAACTAGTTGAAATCATGAAAAGTGTTACATGATTTAAAAAAATAAGTGTTAAGGTTATTTTGTTTGAGTGTAAATTGTTGTAAAGATTTAGGATAAAAATTAAAAAAAGCAAAATATTGGAAGCTGGCTTATAATAAGTTTAACGTTATTTGGGGTAGCTTTTCTTAAGCTAGCTTATTTTTTTGTTCACCAAACAGTCCTAATAGTTTATTAACAATAAAAAAAAAGCTATAAGCTCCTAAATAAGCTTTAAGCTTGAGTTACAAAACATACTTAAGTATTTGTATCAGTAAATCACATGATAGCTGATAGTTTATTTTGATTAGATTTGCGGTGAACTTGTTGGAAGTCATAGATCACTTTTCTAAGCTTAATTAAATGCATATTTAAGTGCTTAGATGATAAAAATAAGTCGAATAAACTTCGTACAAGCTCATCCAAAGGCAAAGGCCTACTTAAGGCTTGGTTGTCAATAGTATGTATGCCTTTAGTTTGAACCGTTCAACTAGTTAAAATAGTGGTATAGTGTATGCTTAATGTGTTTCTTTTGCTTCAGTAGGAACCTGACATCAGACGTCATGTGATGGTTACTGAATTCTCTTAACAACTCTATGTTTTGTATACCAAATTTCTGGTTTAGTGAATGAAGTACTAGATTCAGCTTAAAGTCTTGTGATAATGATATAAAAAGTGTCTTTGTAATTATGGACAAAACTTAGGTGCAGTACCAAAAGTACTGTGGGTGTTGTTCTCTAGTTAGATTGGAGTATCGCTTCAGTAATATGTGTCGACCTTTAATGCCGGTATGCTGACCTTTAATGTTGACTTTTATTATGCATATTACTGAGATAAATCTTAATTCTGACTGGAGAACAGTACCAATAATACGTATGGTACTGCACTTAAGTGTTGTCTGCTAATTATACCCGTCTCAAGCTGCAAAAACTTTTAACTTGGAGGTTAGAGAGAAATGTGTTTAAGAAAGAATTTATTTGCGTTGGACAAAGCAATTCCTCTTGGGAAGATGTGTGAAATTCAGAGAAGCAGTGATACATTCACTGTTGCAGTCACTTATTTTGGTATATACCTTCTTGTTGAAAACATTTTGTGTATAGATTTGGTCTCCTGGTAAGGCTCCAATTGATGTTGAAAGTTGAAAGGAATGAAAAGGGAAAATGAGTACCTCTGTTAATATTTTGTATGACCAATTGATATACCTACTTTTAGGTTCTATCATTCTGTAGTTATCGCCGAATACAATAACCTGGTGTTAAATTCCAAACTACACTGATAGGATCGTCAATTGTTCTAACTACACTTATAACTCCATCTGTCCTTAAGTAGTGTTTGATCGACAAATACTGGGTATTAAGCATTAACCTTCTTATTTCTGTCTCTGCCTTCAGTGTCTGATTGGCAAATCATACAACCACGTCTATTTCAATCTTGATTCAAATGTCAGAGCTAAATAGTAGTTTTCAAATTTATTTAGTGTATTATTCCTTGTGTAATTAAGTCTTCCTTGATGTCATGGTAGACGTTGTTGGTTGTTTCATTCTATAAGCCACACTAGTCTCTCTTTTGTAGGGATTCAGATTGATGATGAGGAACTTGCCCGTTTTGTTGAGCGTGTTGATAAGGATAATAATGGGGTTATAACATTTGGGGAATGGAGGGATTTTCTGCTGCTTTACCCTCATGAGGCGACTATTGAGAACATTTACCATTACCTGGAGCGGGTATGCCTGGTGGATATTGGGGAACAGACTGTTATTCCAGCAGGCATTAGTAAGCACATCCATGCAAGTAGCTATCTGATTGCAGGAGGGGTAGCAGGTGCTGCATCCCGAACAACAACTGCACCCCTTGATCGTTTAAAGGTTGTATTGCAGGTCCAAACAGCACGAGCTCATATAATGCCTGCAATAAAAGATATATGGAAAGAAGGTGGCTTGCTAGGATTTTATCGAGGCAATGGCTTAAATGTTCTTAAGGTGGCCCCTGAGAGTGCTATTAGATTTTACACCTATGAGAAGTTGAAGACCTTCATTATGAATGCTAAAGGAGAAGAGTCAAAGGCTGATATTGGAACTATGGGACGGCTGCTAGCTGGTGGTATAGCTGGTGCTGTAGCTCAAACTGCAATATATCCTCTGGATCTTGTTAAAACACGGATACAAACTTATGCTTGTAAAGGTGGAAGTGTTCCCAGTCTTGGAACCCTCTCAAAAGATATCTTGGTTCAGGAAGGACCCCGTGCATTTTATAAGGGCTTGATTCCTTCTGTTCTGGGGATTATACCATATGCTGGCATAGATCTTGCTGCATATGAAACATTGAAAGATATGTCAAAGAAATATATTCTTCATGATGAAGGTAATATACTTCTTTGTGTATCATGTTCTGTACCACATATGCTATAGCTGTGTGTTGAAATTCTGAGATTTTCTGTAGAACCTGGTCCTCTTGTACAATTAGGATGTGGGACAGTGTCAGGTGCCCTTGGAGCAACCTGTGTTTACCCTTTGCAGGTTGTGAGAACGAGGTATGCTTTGGCTGTGTAATGTCTAAGTTGTGACATGTAACAACTTCATTTCATCTTTTATATAAATTAGAAACTGACACAGCTTTTGATTTCAGAATGCAGGCTCAACGTGCTTATATGGGAATGACCGATATATTCAGGAGAACCTTTGAACATGAAGGGTTTAGGGGTTTCTACAAAGGACTATTTCCTAACCTGCTCAAAGTTGTTCCATCTGCTAGTATCACTTATTTGGTATATGAGAGTATGAAAAAGGGATTGGAGTTGGAGTGATTAACTTTGCTGCCTCATTTGATAATTTGTCTAACTGACATGGCTGACCGTTTGCAACTACAGGAGTGGTTCTGCAATGAGACATTAATGACAAGAATAAAGTCCCCATTTGATTTTATGACAATTGTTTACGATCACTATTAAATGACACCACTTTTATCAAAATTCTTGGAGGATGAAATTGGTTTGTCCTGCTTGCTGCTTCATTAAACTCTGAAGCTCCATATCTATCAAGAATAGATTTTGTTGTATGCTGAAGTGTACACAAAACCCAGTTAGGATCCGATTTTGTACTATGTAATGGCTCAGATTGCTAATCTTATTCTCAATTTTTTGGTATCTTTCCGAGTTAGAATGCCACTAATTTTGGTAATGACTATAATGCCTTTCTAAATTTGCTAAAGTGTGCCTGAAGACATGGTGTTGTTCACCTCCTAAACAGTATGTCTTGCATCTTGCTTTCTTTTTCCTTTTCTGTTTTTTGTTTGGGGTAGGGTGTTTGAGGAGACTGCTTCGAATGTAAAACTGAATGATTGTAACCTTTTATCATAAGCTTGGATGTTAAGGCTTCTGTTTTGATTTGTTAATAGTATAATTATTAAAATGTACCAGACAAACCCAGGAAATAAAAGTCTTGTAGACCCTGAAGGTAAAAATTGGTGAACTGGTCTAGTCTCAAATTTGTAAAACAGATTAGTAACTATACAGCCTAATTGTTTATTTTTTACTTTGGATAAACATATTGCTGGGCGTTTTTTTTTTTTTTTTTCTGAAATATAAAGAGGTCCACTACATAGCTCACGTGAGAAAAGTATCCAGCTATGAGCTTATGATTCTTGTCAACATTCCATGAGAAGCCATATCTTTTGACCCCAAAAATTTGAGAAGCCACGTCTATAATTTTCTAGATAATTAATATTTGTTAGTCTTGTTGATGTGATGTATTGTTGGATTTTGTACTTATTTTTTCGGATTTCTTGTTAGAGAAATAAGATTTGTGCTTTATTTGATTTTGTTTTAAAATTCATAAGATTATTAAATTGTATATAGTCATAAGTAGAGATGTTTTTGCTCTTCTTGTATATTGTTGTAAGGTTTTTATCATCCTTTAATTGTAATTGTATTTGAGCTTTTTTATCATAATAAAATAAAAATTACGTAAATGTTTTATAATAAAAAAAATTACACATGTTTAGCATTTAAAAGAAAACTATTTATATTGATTTTTTTTAAAACAAAAAATCATTTAAATTGATTTTAGTTTGCTGTGCACTGCGCTGTATTTGTTTTTACAGAAGTCGATTCTAATCGATTGTGGTTATTTTTTTTGTTGTGTGAAAGTCGATTTAAATATACAGAGGAAGTCGACTTGAATTGATAGAGGTGAAGTTGACTTGAATAGACTTTAGTGCACCGGAGAAGTTAACTTGAATTAATTTTAATGCAGAGAGAAAATCAACTTGAATAGACTTTAGTATAAAGAGAAAGTCAACTTAAATCGACTTTAATGGAGAAAAAGGTTCAAATTCAATCAACATATAAGCAATGTGATATGGTGGTTGAATGTAGCCAAGTCATGACATCATATTTAACATGAAAGGTGGATTTAATTAACATTATCTAAATATATAAAGTTTATTAAAATAAATAAACAAATTACTATAATACGAATTAACGATTAAAACTTTTGAAATATAATTAACACTTACTAAATTTAAATTTATTCTAATTCACTAAGTTATAGTTTAAATGTTTATTCGCCTAAAACTATAATTGTTTAATTTATTGTAATAAATAGTAAAATCCTAATATAAAATACAGTAACAGTTCTATAACCCACACTTGATTAAATATGTAATATACGTTTATACAATATATGTAACAGTTATTTTAATTAGACAACTAAATATTTAATAATAGATTAAATTAAAAAATTCAGATAAAATTAAATAAATTTTTTAAACATTTAAATAACAGTTTGTTTGCAATATGATCAATAAAATTAAGTCAATTTAAATTATTATTCATTTTTATTGTAGTTGCACTGTATTATTTTTTTTTTCTCTTCCTTTCGTTTTGTCGATTCTTTTCAAAGATGTTTCTTCCTTCCAAGATAGTCATGGCAGATAGGTAACACATCCAAATTAATTAAATCCTTCACCAAAGTCAATTCAAGTCAACTTTCTCTCTATACTGAAGTCGATTTCTTTTCTATATTGAAGTCGTCAACTTTTCCTCTACATTGAAGTTAATTCAAGTCGACTTCCTCTTTGCATTAAAATCGATTCAAGTTGATTTTTTCTCTACACTCAAGTTGACTTAAATCGACTTCCACACAATAAAAAAAGAAGAAGCAACCATAGCAAACTAAAATCAGTTTAAATTGTTTTCTATTTTCAAAAGAAATTAATTTAAATCATATTCTTTTAAATGCTAAACATGACATTTGTGTAATTTTTTTATTATAGGTCATTTATGTAATTTTGATTTTATTTTATTTTATTATACTAAAAAGCCCTTATATTTGAGTATTTTAGTCTATAAACTTTTTACTGAAAAACAAAAAAAGTTTACAAATGTTGAACCTGTAGAGATGTTCAAAAATTGATCCAAACTATTTTAAATTGTTAAACTTTAGATTGAAAAATTCATTTTGTTTTTTTGCAGTTTAGTTTAAATTTCGGTTGATAAATTAATTTTTTATTATATTTTTAAATATATATATATATATATATATATATATATATTAATCTAAAGTAGGGACGCAAATTGGTAAGATTTAGAAGAGTATCATAATATGTAGGACGTTCTAAAGGTTATTTATGTTTATTTTCATATATTTTTTAGGTTAAAATCTTAATCCTCAAGTTAATATCTCTTTAAATATTTAAATTTGTTCATATTTATCTCCATTACTTGCATTTTAATTAATTAAAATATATAAAAAAATAAAAGAAATATTTAGACCTTTTTATATTTTAATATAAAATCTTAATTTAAAACATGTCAAATATAATGTAAAATTACAATAAGTACAAAAAAAAATACAATATAAATTTTTAACCTTAACATAATCAAATATTATATATTATAATTTATCTATAGTAAAAAGCAAAATAATGAAACAAAATTCTAACAAAGTTACTTTTATTTAGTTACAAGTTTTGTACTAATTACATTCTAAAGTTTGTTAAAAAAAAAACTTTAATTAGTTAGATATTGTAAAATCAAATTAATATAAATAATAAGGTTTATTTTTTATTTTTTTAGAATTAGAGTTTCCAAATTTTTACAATAACTTGTATTTCATACTTAAATTAGGTTTAAAGAGAAAAAAATTATAATGACAAAAAACTCAGGTATACAAACGTTAATTATATATCATAACGAAAAAATGCACAAAAAGGTGATACTTAAATTCTGTTAGTTAACCTTTATTAATGTTTATTCCTCCCAAACAATAGAAAAATGCATAACAAAAGTGTATAAACAATCAAAATATAAAAAAACATAACAATGAAAAAAAATGCATAACAAAAGTGTATAAACAATCAAAATATAAAAAAGCATAACAATGGAAAAAAATACATAACAAAGGTTATACCTGAGTTTTATTAGTTAACCTTTATTAACTTGTTTCTGCCAAATAATAAAAAAATGCATAACAAAAGTGTGTAAGCAATCAAAATATATATAAAAGAAGCATAACAATAAAAAAAATTCAAAAATGCATAAAAAAGTTGTACTTCTGTTTCGTTAGTTAATCTTTATTAACATTTGTTCTGCCAAAAAGTAAAAAATACATAACAAAAATACGTAAGCAATCAAAATATTAAAAAATCAATACTATATAAATATTCTATAAAACAAAAACAAAGTAATGAATGATAATATAAAGAAAGAAGGGTGAACCAAAGTAGAAATGATACTTGAGCTTGTTCTTGTCAAACAATGAAAAAATGTATAACAATGGTGTGTAAGCAATGAAAATATATAAAAAATAATAATGCTCTATAAATCGTATAAGAGAAAAAGGAAGTAACAAAAAATGAAAGTGAAAGAAAAAGTACGAGCCATACATGAAGGTGTAAGAAAAAAAAAATGGAGATGATACCTGAATTTGCTTTCTTAAGCTTTCCTTCTATTCAAATGCAAGATTTATTGTCAAGGATGCATAATAGTAAAGTCGCAAAGTACACAAAACTAATAAAAAAAAGAGTTGAAAGCAGAGATGTAAATAAGTTGTTCAACAGGGTCTACGGCCTAACCTTTTTAAAGCCTAACTCAACTTAGCCTATTTAATTAATAGGCTTAATTTAGACTTTTAAAAAATTTAATTAATTAAATAGGTCAAACTTAAGCTTTAAAAAAAAGCCTATTAGGCTTATTAGAATGACCTATTTAAAATTTATAATAATATATTAGATAATTTTATATAAAAGTTATAATATAATAATATATTACATCAATTAAATTTTAAAATAATAAAATTTTAAATTAAAAACCCTAAGAGAGAGAGAGCTCTGCTTGCTAGAGGCTTTTGCATATTCTATATGTATAACACCGATTTACATTGCGTTGTCTCGATTATGTCTCAATTACGTTTATTGCTGGTTCATCTCATCCATCATTTCTTACAATCTTACACACTTATTTATATTATATCATATATAACTAATTTTTGTTTATTGCATTTGTTAATTTTAAGTCTAAAACTTATTTAGTTATATTGTGTTTATTGATTTAATGTGTAAGACTTTATTCTACTAGGTTTACTTAATAATTTTTAAATTGATGTTCATTTTATTGTATTTTTTGTATGTGTATTGATTTACTTATTTAAATTAAATATATGGTTTGAAAGTAATAAATAGGAATATGTAATTTTATTATATATATTCAAGATGTTGAATATTTTTTTAATAGTTTATTTAGATATAAGTCTTGTAATTTTTAAAAAAACATACATATTTATATGGTTTAATAACCTATTTATAAGAAAGTTTAATGATCTATTAAATGTCTCAATACAAAGTAGGTCATTAAAAAAACTAATAAGTCAAACTAAACTTTTAAAAAGGTCAGGCTAGACTTAATAAAAAGCCTATGATAGGTGATAAGCCAGATTTAGACTTCAAAATTATTAAATAAGCCAAGCTTATTTACACAAAATTTAGCCTATTTCCATCCCTAATTGAAAAGATTTGTTGCTAGCTGAGTGAATTTGTTTTTTAGGATGTTTATACAGTTACAACGTGAAAAAAGATAAACTAAACATGAATATATAAGAAAACAAAATATAAATTATATCTAACTTACATTGGTTAACATTTCCTCTATTTATCTGCAAAACTTGTAAATGTAGAAAGAAAAAATAATGGAGTCAGACACGCCAAACTGATTTGAAACAAAGTGAAGAACAAATAACCAAATATAAAGATACCATAAAGCAAGATGCTAATGATACTTGACTTTATTGCTTAACTTTTCTTTTCTTCACCTACAAAGGTTTATAATGGTAGATTGAAGAGATTCAAAATTGTAAAGTACATAAAACTGATTTTAAATTTTTAAAATATTATTTAATGGTAGATTTTATTTATTCATTTATTTTTGTGTTCGTGAAGTTTCTTTTTTTCTCTAAATTATTAGAATGTGTTTCAATACAACATGCTAAGATAACATGCCTGAATAAAAAATGACGAATAATAAATGATCTTGTCAGAATGTAACTATTACTTCTTTATAATTTTAAATTTAAAATCTGAAATAGAATAAAGTTTCTAAAAATAGAAAGAAGTAAAAAAAATGTTGAAAAAACTTTTCAATAGGTACTGATACTTCATCAAACTTTTAACAAAATGATACTCAAATTGAATATATTATAAATGCCTATCAACTTCAATATTATTTGATTTTATTAAATTTTTATTATTTTGACACACAATATTTATATTTATAAAATTAAGTCAAAACAACTTTTAAATAAGTTATTACTTAAAATAATTTTATTCTATATATATAATTATTTAAAATATTAAATTTTGTTATTTAATTATCAATATTTATATTATAAAAATGTAAAAAAGCTCTAAGTTAAAATGAACTAATTACTTTTCTCTTGAAATAAAAAATATATTATTTGAAAAACAATATTTAATAGTGTTACTTTTTATAATTAATCACGTGAATATTTTAAAATTAAAATTAATTTATAATAATATAAATTATAATCTTTTTTATTATTATAATTTTACTTTTTATTTTTATTTTTGTTAATTTTATTCTAAATTTAAATGATAAATTTTTTTACTTAATGTTTTTTATTATTTTATATAAATTCTCAAAATTTTCATGAATACTTATATTTAAATTTTTTTGCAAGTATACCTATTTTCATATTTATAATTTTTCTTTCATTATTTACATAAAATTTTAAATTTACTGAATTTATTATTTATATTTTTTCAATTCTCACTAACTACTCATCTTTAATTTTATGTAAGAAAAATATTTTTTTTACTAGACAACTGCAAATTTTATTATTTTAATATTTTTTTTCTCAAAATTTAAACTACTTTTCGATACTTTCTTTTAGATTTTCTCAAACAAATTTGCATATATATATATATATATATATATATATTATTTAAGTTTACTTTCTTATTTATTTATTAATATAAATTAATATTAACATTTAACTAAAACTTGTTTGGTAGTATATGATAAAAACATTATTTTAAATTAAATTAAAATTTAAAATTATTATAATTTTAATATATAATATTTATGATTATAAAATTAAAAAATAATTTTTATAAAAATTATTATTTATAAGAATATCAAAATTTGTTAATAATTATTTAACTGTATATATATTTATCTTAAAATAAAATACGTGTGTATTCACGGAATGCTAACTAGTTGACATCAATATCAAATAAAATTTTTTACATTGCAAATAAGTGAAAATCTTATAAAGACATATATGTTTTCACATGATAAAGAAAAATATTATCATAAAAAGATATTAATATCTGAATTACATGAAGAAAATTTATAACACATAAAAAATTACAAAATTGATTTATAAATAATTAATATTTCCTTTAAAATTATATTTTTTAAAATGATATAAGTGTATAGTTTTTTAAAATAATTTTTTGCATATGCATGTCGTGATTATTATCTCAAAAATTCAAAAAAATAATTTTACTCTTGTATATGGCATATAAATTATATATAAAAATATATTTATTTAATTTTTAAATTTTATATTTTAATATGAATATAGTATTATTAAAGTATTTTTACTTTAATTTAAATCATGCAAAATATATTGTTAAATAATATAAAATATGTTTGGATCGAGTAAACTCTAAGAATGTGCAAAAAAATTTAAATTTAATGATCCAATCCATAATCAAAATAAATTATATTTAAAAATTTGAATTATTTTAAAAAATTAAACATCCAACCCTTTTTTTGGGGGTTAAGATACATTTTAGATCTCATTTAATAAAACCAGTTTTAATGCTGAAAAATCAGTTTTTATTCTGAACAGTTCACTCCACCAGCACTCTTACGCTATTTATGCTGAACGGTTCCCTCGAAGAAAGCAATAGGTGCTATACTGCTATTCATTTTGTTAAATTTTGTTTCATGTGATATCTACTTTTTCTCTGTTTATATTATATTATATTATATATATATATATATATTTGTATATTAATAAATTTTATATACACATAAAATGTATTTTTTTATTAAATATATTTTAAAAATTATTATTTTTAATTATTTTATGATAAAATAAATTTTATATTTTATAATAATATTTTAATATATTAATTTTTAATAATATTTTATAATATTAATTTATATTAAATAAAATAAAAGCATAAAATATTATATATATATATATATATATATATTATGCTGTACTAAGGAAGTATATTATTAAAACTAATTTTAAACTATATTTACATTTAAAAATCAGTTTTTAAAAAAGTAATATAAATTAGCTTAAAACTTAATTTATATAATTAAATTTAAAATAAATTTAGATTAGATTTATTTAAATCTAATTCATGCTCACCCCAACCTTAGTAAACTCTCCAATTTGCTGATTATATCAGTTATATGGTTGATTTGAGCTGAGTTTAATAATATTATTAAATTAAATTTTTTAAATTATGTGAAAATTAAATTAAAATTTCTCTGAGAAGAATAAGTGTTAAGCATACAAATTTAATGTTTTTATTTTCTGTATCAAAATATTAATTTTCTCATTAACAACAATTTTTTCTGTGTTTAAAAATTAAAAAAATGTAATTATTAATTTTTGTTGAAATCCATTTTTCGGTTAGAGAAAGCATGTTATGGGCTTACCCACTGGGTCATGCCGAAAAGAAACAGCTATAAGCTTTATAAATTGCATGCCCAAAAAAAAAAAACGCTATACCCCTCGCTGCTTTGTGCTGCTTCTGCAAAACCTAGGGTTAAGCCTTTCTCTGAGGGTTGCTGTGGTTTTATCTCAAGATGGTAACTAACTTATGGTTATCTCAATACTCTCCTTAGATCTATACAATCTTCCCCTTTGAATTACGTAAAACAGAAGAGAAAAAGATTATCGTGTTTTTTCCCCCTATTTTTTCAATGTTTTGCTACCTCTGTGGTCTGGTTCGAGAACATAGTTTAAGCAATTCTTATTGCTTTTTGTTTTTTATTTTTATTTTTTGCGAGGAATATTGTCTATTTTTATATTTTAGATGACTATCATTTATATGCATTAGGTTTCCAGAATGAAAATTGGTTTTTGTGTGTGAGTAGGTTCTTCAGAACGATATTGATTTGCTGAATCCCCCAGCGGAGTTGGAGAAGAGAAAGCACAAGCTCAAGCGTCTTGTTCAGTCCCCAAATTCCTTCTTCATGGTATTCAATGCCCTTTTGTTTTATACTATTATTATTATTTCTTGATTTAAAATGTAAAATTGCTTTACTGCATAATTATTCAAACACAGTTTCTTTTTTTTGTGACAAACCCTGTTGGGAGGATGTGAAGTTTTGATTATTTGTCTGTTATTATTTTTTTTTTTGCAGGATGTTAAGTGCCAGGGCTGTTTCAATATGTAAGTTGGATGTTTCTTTTATTTCACTTGATTGTGATGATATTTAAATAACTTAAATGTGGATTTGATTACGTTATGTTTTTAATTGGGATGCAGAACCACTGTGTTTAGCCACTCTCAGACAGTTGTGGTATGCGGTAATTGCCAGACTGTGTTGTGCCAACCGACTGGTGGACGGGCAAGGTTAACTGAAGGATGCTCGTTTAGGAAGAAGGGAGACTGAATGTTGCTGTTACTTCTCTTTATCCATGAATGGAGAGTTTTGGTTATTAGGCTTTTAAGATGGAAGCAATTTTAGTTATGATGTATTGATTTTGTTAATTTGTAAGACGTTAATTCTGAACCTTTGAGACGTGATGGGGCCATCCAATCCTGAATTTCTTTGCTGAAGTGGATGTGGTTTTGTTGGATATTTATTTTTGTAATTTTCTTTACTGAAATGGATGTGATTTAGTTGGATATTTGGTATGGTGCATGCGCTTGTATCTGTTTTGTTCACATGATTTGTTAGCAATTATGTTATGTCAATTGTGATAATCGGGGAAATACTGCCTTTCAATAAGTTGGATGTAACTTAGTTTTTCAACTTGTTAAAACAGTGGTATAATGCCGCCTAAAGTGTTTCTTTTGCTTCACATGAGATGTCGTGTGATAGTTGCCAAATTCTCTTAACATTATCTATTGTATATCAAATTACTGGTCTAGTGAATGACGTATCAGAATTAGCTGAAACTTGTGATAAGTGTTGTAAAAAAATGGTTATGGTGGCACTATGGCGGGTAAGGATGGCATTTCTCAACTAAACTGCTATGACCATGGCAGAATATGGAGGTTTTCAATGGTGGTGCGACGGCCATGGCAGTTTTCTTAGGGAAAATTGGGTTGCGCCGAGGACCCGACTTGGTCCAGAGAGAAAACTGGGAGTTCAAACCTTAAATCTTGCATCTCCTTATCCTTTCTCTTCTTTGTCGCACATTTTCGTCGTCTTTTCTTCGTGCTTCTACTTTGTGCTCAGATCGTCTTTCTGCTGCTTCTTTTTGCTTCATCTCTGTGCTTACTGTTTAATTTGAATTCTTTGTCTAGTTCGTCCTCACTGAGTCTCTCATTCAACATTTGTAATGTGAAAGGTTCCTCAAGTGTCCAAAATAATTTTAAAAAGGAACTTGAAACATATCAAAAGGATAAAAATAGTGAAGACAACATTGAAATTCCAAACGTGAGGGGCTTTGAAAGTATAAGCCACGACAATGAAAATGAGGACGAAGAAGATAGCCAAACACGTGTTGTTGCTATGGGGAATAAGATGGTGGATAAAAATTTGTGTTTTCTCTTGTCATTGTTTTTTGGGTCAGGGTTGGGGTTCAGGTGGCTATAATCTATTCCATTTTGGAGTGTAATTTCTACCAGGGTGTATGATTACAATTTTGGAGCATTTTGTTAATTCATTTTGTCTATAAAATCGATCAAATACCAGTTTCAAATATCTTGTCTCCAAATATGTATAGTAGCCAGCCTAATGAATCATTCTAACATCCAAGCCTTTTCTATTGTCCAGCTCCAGCAATGTATATTCATTTATACTTCTGTCTGAGATTGATAAATGGGGTTTATTTTATTTTTTTGCTAGAAAATGGGGTTTATTTTGTCTCCTTGGTTACTAGGATGGCACATGTATACCAATTTCCTTTTTCTAAATAAGCACACTGATGTAAATAAGAGTTTGATGATTCTATTGCACGGTGATGCTGTATTTCATGTTACGTATATTTAAGATTTATAACTGTACTAAAACTTTGTCTTTATTAAATCCTGGGAGCTTTTGCATCTTTTTTTAACAATTTCTTTTGCAGGTCTGCTTATTGTGAGGCTCAGCTGCCACCTGAAAACTTAAGAGAATTCTTGCCTCATCTTATTCCAGTAAACCAAATTATATGAATTTTCTTCTATAATTGTTTTACCATGTATGATTTGGAATTTCAAGTTTGTTTGTTGCATCTATGTAGGTTTGTTGTCAAACATGGCCTATGCAGATGATGATGAATCACTTATTGAAGCTGGGGTTTTCTTTTGGATTATTTAGTCTTTGTATTTCAATTAATTCTTGTTTATTTGGCTTCATTTGTTTGTACAGTTTTTTTTTTCAGGGAGATGGTTCTCAACCTAATTGAGATCAGGTCTGGTTGTTTTTAGGTTGACTTACTGGATTTTCTTTAGTTTCAGACAATCATATTTCTAATTTTCTGAGTTTTGCAATGTAGGACATTAAACCTCGGTTTCATGTATCAAGGTTTCATGGATCAGATGAAGTAGAAGAGGATGTGTGCTGTATTTGCTCTATTGATTGTTTACTCAAGTTATTTGGTTAACATTTTGTCTTTATATACTAGAGTTTGTGTAGCTTTTGAAAGCTGAAATGATAAAAGAATTGCTTTTCTAATCTAAAATCGAATTTTACTTTTCATATTTCGGGATGATGATGTTGTCAACACATGGAATTTACGGAAATGCAGTGCAGATATTCTTTCAAATGTTTTTGGAGATGAGATCCTTCCGACTTTGATGCCTATTGTTGAGGTGATTTAAGCTTCTTGTGGTCATTTTGTAACGAAGTTCTAATTATCATAGTGGCTACTGGTTAGTACCTGTTGAACTTGTGCTGTATTAATTCAAAGGTAGTCTGTATGCATGATGATAGTGGATCAAACATAAGTGTGTGTATAGAAGATATTTGTGAAAACTATTATATGATGCTAATTTCCCCATGAACTCTTGCATTCTTTTGTGAGAAAATAATAAAATTTCTGAAAATTTGTGCAGGCTAAGCAGTCTACTGGTGGGGATGATGCTTGGAAAGAAAGGGAAGCTGCTGTCTTGGCTCTTGGTGCCATAGGGGAGGGTTGCATCAATGGTCTTTACCTTCATCTGGAGGTATTTTCTATTCTTTGATTCTGATGACTTTCATTGGAGAGCATGTCAGTGTAATTATATGTACTTATTATTATGCCAATTGATTAGAATTGCGTAGACTTGAACTAAATGAATTGTAGATATGTTGGAATGTGAAATATAAAGGTTGTGTGATTGTCGAATAAAGAGTAGAGCAGTAATTGTGCTGTATGATGATGTTAATATATGTGTAGTGCTGTGTGAATGGAAGAATAATTGTTAAATATGTTTAGTGTTTGAATAATTTAGAAAGTATGATTAAGAAGTGATAGTATTTCACTTGGGAGAGAAATTTTGGAGTCTGGGTGTGAGATCTCTCGCTCAAGCGAAAGTAGTCTCGTTCAAGCGAGAACAGATAGGATTGCTTCAGCTGCAACCTCGCTCAGGCGGGAAGGAACCTCACTCTGGCGAGAGGTGATCTCGTTTCGGCGAGAGGTGATCTTGTTCAAGCGAGAAGTTTTCTCTCAAGTTAGGTGTCGCAGGAGTAATAGGTAGCTCTCTGGACGCAATCTCGCCCAAACGAGAATGTTGCTCGCCCAGGCGAGATGCATCTCGCTCAAGCGACGTGTTTCTCGCTCAAGCGAGAATATCAGAAAATTGAGAGGTTCCACTGTCTAGTTTTCTTGTCCAGGTAATGGTTGGCTTGTCCAGGCGAGAGCAGAGCTCGCTCAAGCGAGAAATAGCTCGTTTAAGCGATAACGTGTAGGCTGGAGGGGTATTTAAGGGGCCTTAGCACCTAGAAACTTCATTTTCACGCCAGACAACTTTTCTCTCTCATTTTTTCTCTGTTCTCTCTCCTAGTACCCTAAGAGAAAACCTTCTCGAAGCCGAATTCTTTTCCGATCAAAGAGAGATCTTCTATCTCATTGAGATCTAGGTGAGTTCTCAGAGCTCAACTTTCAGTTTTTACCTTGTTTTTTCGCTTTTTTTCTCAAGGGACTTAAATTGGGTTATTTTGAGTAGATCTGAACTGTTCTAACTGTATTCCACATCCAAACAGTCGATCTCTCTCTAAGGAACCCACTAGGAGCACTATCGTGCAACTCATTTCAGGTAAGGGGAGCTTACGTGATTTAATCTAGTTCATTTAGTAGAGATCGTGATGTTTATATAAATTATTTTATTCTAGCTGAGAATAGTTGGCTGTATGAGTTAATTTTGGGCTAAAACCTAGAGTCTATGTAGTTAAATAGATTTCTCTGCTGTTTGATAATTGTTTAGAAAACCGTGCTGAAATATTTAATTAATATTTTGAGCTGCTTAGTTTTATTGGGTGAAATAATTTTTGGATGAAATTGCTAAAATTGAAAATATAAAAATTTGCTGTGCTGTTAATACTGGATAAAATTATATTGCTGTATCGCTGAGGCTGAGAATAGATTTAATTTTGCTGTAATATGCTGATTTAACTGTGTTACATCCTATTCATTATCATCATTTTAGAGCTGATTAGGATGCTGAGCTGTACTGTATCTGGATTTAGATACCGGGATAGGTAGCTCCCAGACCGGAAACAGTTCCTCTGAATTACTTAGGCTGTGAAATCAGATGGAAACTGAATTGCTGCATTTGCATTTGATGGACTGGAAATGGGCTGGACATGCTGCATTGTTTTATTGAAGCTGTGTAATGTGCTGTGTGCTGACTGTATGAGCTGTTTAAATAATTTTATCTATACTTATTCACATTTCATTAATAAGGTTGTCAAATATATAAGCTCACCCTTGCATTTTGTTGTGTTGGTATGTGTGTGTTGCAATGATCGTACAATGGTATGAGAGACATTGGAGTTGACATTTTGGGAAGAACATGGAGTTAATCATTTTGTTGGTCTAGATTTGAGTATTAGATCTAGCCAGTTGGGTTATTAAGTTATTAACGAATGTAATTATACGTCGAACACTTGTATTTTAAATTCTTAGCTGAATCTCTGTTGTAAATATATAAATTTATGTAAATTTTGATATTATGCAAAAGTAGTTATGGAATGTTGTTATTTTATCAAAGTAAATGTCAAGTTACAAATTACGATAAATTGATATTCTTGGACTCAGGTATTTCATATCCGACAAATTAATAAATAAATTAAGAATAGTAATGTGGAATGTTATTGATTTTCTTATAAAAAGGGGTCGTGACAGAGCAAATTGCTTAAGTGTGGGAAAAGTAGTTTGTTTATTCATACCCCATAAAATACTTTGTGAAAATATTGATTTTTTGTCCTTGTACTAATTTATTCATGCTTATGTTCAATTATACAATCACTGTCACATACTTATTTTATAACACCTTTCTGGATGAGTTATAATTTCAAATTCATGCTGAAAGACAAAGTGTTTCTTTCACAGGA